TAAATATAAAAAGAATAATTTAACAAATGAATAGAAAAAAAAAATAATTATATAAATATAAACCAAAAAAAAGCGGGTGGGGTGAGCAGGGGTTAGAAGTGCCAGTCAAGGACAGATTGTTTATTTTCTTACTGGTCGAGGATAGATTTTTTTTTCGAGAACAGGCCATTTTATTTCCAAAATTTGCCACGCCCCTCTCTAGGAATCGGGAAGTGCATGTGAAGATAGATTTACGCTTTACATTCCGTCGTTCGATATTAATTATACTATACATACAAAATTTATTAAAACATAACTAAATTGAACTTCAATAGATAAAATTTTAACGTCTCCCCCGGCCTTCCCTCTTCACAATTTCTCTCGAATATATGCGTATAGAGGGTGCTCTATTTTTCAGCAGTATTTTGTTCTAAATTGTATCAGTCTCAGAATGCATGGCTTGGATTGATACGCGTAACCAATTAATGCAATGATCAATGACTTATGCACTACTTGATTTTTATACATGTACGCAAATATGAAAAAGATAAAGTTTGCGATAGAATGAAATAATCGACCAATTTAAATATTCGTAGTGGACTGAAAAAAATCATAAAATGCTTTCATTGATCAATTCAAGTTTTAAAGACATTTAATTATGCTGGTAATATTCAAGAAAACGACATCGGGACTGTCTACTCAACTTTTTTTTACCCAACAAACAAGCTGTATGTTGCAGCTGACCGACTTTAGCATGGGAGAGACACGATCTCGGCTACTTCCTTTGATGTGGTGACAACGTGACGTAGTATTTAAACCTCTCGACAACAAAGCGTTAGCACGTCACAAACAGCGTACTCCGTTAGGGCTATTGAAATCAGCTCTAACAGCCTCGAAATAGCACTGAAGAGAGTAAAGTGGTGGCGGATCTAAGTAAACGGCATTTTAAAAAATATCTGACAACAAGCAAGCGCTTATTTATTTCACAAAACGTCATTAATGAATTATTCAATCAAAATTTGATTTAAGTGATATAAAAGAAATAAGCAATGGTCACTGATGTGCAAATCCTTTCCGTTTATGTCCGATCTCGCTATTTGTTGAAAGTTCTAGAAAGTCAGGTGGCATCGAACCCGATGTCGAAAAGAAAATCGAGGCGATTGTTTATCATGAATGGGCATGGAAATAAATGTAAAGAAATTGGTAACACAATGAGTTTGTGAATGTATCTTAGTAAGTTGTGCTAATGTTTTATAAATAAATGTCGATTAATGGCCATGGTTATTTGATTAGACATGTAAGATGGTACAATTTGATTTTTAAATAATTTACTTAAATCCTTTAAAATTGTGTTCTTTGATGAACACTTTCAGTTGATTTTCTACATACAGTCTTTTATTTTTAAAACTTATTTATACCTTTTAGACCTGTATGTACATTCTCTTATATGTGATGTAAATGGAAACAGATCATCCGAAGTATAATAAGCAATAATATACATGTGTAGCTCAAAATATGTTAAATTCTACCACGATTATTGCAAAGATCAAAGAAAAGCGGCGGACATTATTTCCAATAGATCACGAACGTCATCAAAAAATTATCAGATCAGAAACACGTATCAAATCTGAACAATTCAAATGCATGTTTGGCTGTAGAATGAAATACTTGTTTAGACTGCATCGATGTGTTCGTCGTTTGCAGTAAAAACACTGTAAATTTCATAAAGTTGCTGATGAATGTCGGTTTTTTTTAGCTAAGCGGGGCTATTCCAAGGACCTCCCTACACATTAAACAACGTGATTTCAGCAGTAAAACAGGAACATTATTTTGTTATTTTATATTAATTTTAACTGATCAATACATATTACGAACAAATTTGTAATTTAAAAAGGGTATTTTTAATGTAACAAAAGCTCAAATCGTCTGCATTCCATACACAGGTAAGCAAACAAATTTTACCTCTGGTGTTAAATGGAACAGCGTAATCGAGACATGGTGACCTAAATCGTTTCTCTATAGAGGAAACGCACCCCTACTATTGTTATTGTGATTTAAATTCAAGACACGTGGTTTAGGTTGGCCTATTCAAAGGTTATAGGGTAGAACCGGTTTTATAAATAAAATTGGCAGTAAACAGGAAATTGCTATAGTCCATTTAATTCTTTTGAAACATGTCCTGTGAAAAATGTGTTTCCAGACCTTTCTGAAAGACTTTCATGATTTTCAACAGAAAAGGGTGGCTAAATGGGGGGGGGGGGCTAAATAAAAATATATATTATCATAGTTTACGGCAAAAATTAGAGCTCACTAGCGACCGATACGCTGGTAAAAAAATGTGTAATATCATCAACACGGTCAAACCTTTGTTTGCCTTATATGGCTATTGTTATTAATGCGCACAGATGATCTAACCACGAGCAACTGATTATTTGTTGATTGAATACGTTCACGCCAAATGCATGTTTAAATTTCACTTCGAACACGTGGTTCAGGTCAATCTATGATCATGTCAATGGAGTGCAAAATAAAAAAAATGTTCTTATGAACAAAATGCAAAGATTAGAAACTATGAAAGATCTCACGGGCGTTTTTAATTTGTTTTTTTTAGAAGAAAAAACATGTTTAATAAAATGTATATGTAGTTAGTGTCAAGTTCAGAACACCAGCACTTCTTGGGTAAGGAAAACGAGCAGTTTCTCGTATGCATTTGAATTAACAAAACATTTTTTACATAACTATACTCGTGGTCACGTGTTTTGACCAGAGAATCCACCTGACAATTGTATTCACCGATAGTACAATAAAGGAATTTATCTAGCGTAAAATTCCTGTAGTATTCGTAGTAACCCATGATGCAATTCTCATTCAGCTGATTGGTCAGTTAAAGTCACATTGGTGCCTCATTTGCTAATCTGACGCCAAAAAATATAGTTCCGGTTCCCATGGAAAAACATTTGTCAAAAAAGAAATTTTAATTCATGATAGCAGAAAATTGTATCATAGATAACATAGATAATACTTATAATTTCAATTGAATGAATTCAAGAGAAATCAATTGAAGTACATTTTTACAGAATGATATAATAGGGTGCTGAAAACTTAAACGCGACATAACTTTTCTGTTTACCATGTCTCCACGTGCTAGTCACTTCCTAGCCACATTTCCGTGAATAATTTACACTATCTTGCTGTAGTCTCGCGAACTCTCGCCAGAGCCACTGCCAAAGCTACTCTGAACTCATCGGGTTTTATGATTTGTAGAACACCGAAAAATAAAAGGTTCCGAACACATTAGTAGGGGTGAAACGATCAGCAGTATTTAGCGATTGCAGTAGACATGGTAGAATAGATATAAAGTCCTTGTCGTGAATGATGCAGAATAACCTCCTCGGTCTCGAAATATTGTTTGAAATATAAAAGCTTCGGCTAACGCCTCGGTTTTTATCTTTCAGATAGCATTTCTCGACCTCGGAGGTTATTCTGCAACATTCACGAAAACGCAGACTTTATTTCTTAAATAAAGTTTCTAACATGTAAAGAGAAAAGGCCAATGAGCACCTGTAGTACATGATGTATATAAGAATAAAGTTGTTTTATAACATGACTGTAAGGAGAAGAAGCCTTGAATAAAATTGTTATTTGTAGAAGTACAAAAAATAATCCCAAAATATTAGGAAATGTATTTCTTATAATTATCTATTTCTGTTCCTAAACTAAATACAAAGATAGATAAAGAAGTCACAGCAAACAACAACAGAATAGAAGAAGTAGAAAGAAATTCTAGAGATGAAGAAATGAAGAAAGAAATGAGGAAGAAATTTTATATACCTTGGCAGTAAGATCATAGCCAATGGAGATTCCACCATGGACGTAGAAAATAGAATTTCAAAAGCCCGTGCCATCTTTGCCAACCTACGGAACATCTGGAAATCCTCAATTATTAGATCCAAAACCAAAATAAGGATATTCAAAACAAATGTCATAGGAGTCCTTCTCTATGGATCTCATGTGATGAGGATGAAACCATCAGAGATTCCAAGGGTAGCCCTAAGATGGACTCCACCAGGAAAGAGAAACAGAGGGCAACCAAAGGAGACATGGCGACGGTCGGTTGAAAAGGAAATGAATGATCAGGGGTGGATTTGGGGCACTGTACAGACAATGGCAGCAGACAGACAGAGATGGAGGTCCTCGGTGCAGGCCTTATGTGCTCAAAGCACGAAGAGGACTAAGTAAGTAAGTAAACTAATTGCTGGACTTTTAAGTATTTCGTCATGCTATATTCCTGTGTAATAAATTGTCAATAGAATTTGAAAAATATTTTTTGGAATAGTTCTGTTAGCAGTAAAAAGGAAATATTTTCCCCCGCGCTTGCGCGAGATTTCAGCTAGTGCTTATACAAATGCACACGCCGCATACAACTCCTTCGGATCCCATATACGAATGGCTGTGTTATCATCACACGTCGTCGGCGTTTTTTTAAAATAAAAACCATTTTCTTGTAAATAAAAAAAGATAATATCTTACAAATTTCTACTGAATATTGAACATTTTCGTGCGTCGAATTTTTCGTTCACTACACTTTTGATATTGTCAAAGTTTTTGAAATGCTGTATTTAAAATATTTTTATAGAATTAAGCCTCTGGTGAACATATCTAAAATAGATACACGGCCATGAAATTCAGTTTAAAAAATAGATACATATTAAATAGTATGCTTACGCTATATAAGTCCTAAGAACATTATGTGAAAACATTGGGGCATTGATTGTATATAGAAAAATTGACAGGAAGCATAATAATATTATACAGGAACATGTTTTTCTTCTAAAGTTTCATTGCTTGAATCATAATTATTTCATATTGATTTATTTACTTATTTATCTATTTTTGATGTTCCCGCAGTTTTTCATTAACAGATAGGAAGGAGGTCGAGATATTTTTCCTGAAATACCAAAAGATATCATGAGAAAGTAAATGCATGTATATCAACAGTAAAAAGATGATTTTATAAATACCTCGGGTGTGATAGTATTCCCATTCTTCATATAGCTGAGCTGGAGGTTGCATGCTTTTGAAACTGCGATTGTACAGCAAACATTTCAGTGTTCGTTCATTCCAAGCAAACGATATACACTCTTTCCGCTTCTGTGAACATTTACTTGCACACTGTATCGCTCCCCTTACAAAGTCCACCATCAGATAAAAATCAGTTTTGAGCCCATCATACGAAAATGGATCTTTTATGAATTGTTCGTGATAAAAATAAGAATTACTAAAGTAAGAATTACTAAAGCCAAAGGTAACAGCAATAACCAAAAGAATTCTATTATTAGTGTCCATCATCTCTGAAAGTCTCTCTCAAATGGAGGTATAGCGTTATAGTGGTTCTGGGACAGGTAGCAAGAACTTATCAGCTGAATACAAAGTTCCACAGGCGCAGCATTAGCTCCACCCACCATAGATACATATACATCATAGCAACGAAACAGCCTCGGACAAAGAGTGAAAAATAGCGAGACAAGCACCGTAGACATAATTCCACCGCGTATATCGTTTGATTATTACTATGATAATTTCGTCGTTACATCAAGAGCAAAGGAGAGGGGGTATAATTTTTTTTATTAATGGTAGTCTCCACGTAGTAAAATTGTTTACATCCACTGAAAAACACATAGATATTATGGTAAAATGTTACCGATCTATGAAAAAGAGCGAGAATCATTACAAGATAAATATTAGAGGTACTCTGAGCAATGAGCTCACTAAATGATACCCCCGCCTCCCATATGAATATAATGACAGTGTCCATGTTTTGCTACGGGGAATTGCCCTCTCTTTATTGCAGTAAAGTGTAAAGAGGAATAACTTGTGGTGTTCCATGTTATTCAGAAGCCGCCACACCTCACGTCATAGGTAAGAATAAAATGGCAGTGTCCATGTTTTGCTTTGGGAAATTCAAAATATGTGTCAGATCTAAAAGTAAAATAGGAGGTGCACAATGGCATTATGTAGTACAGATTCTCTGAAAGTCTCATCAAATTTCATTCAGTGGTGTAAGAGAAATTGCGGATAACAGATGAGTACCAAAAAGCGTAACAGACGGGCGAGCCTTTACAGCTAGACGGACGTACAGACTGACGGACGGACATCCCGATTACTATATACCCTCCCCCCTTTTCAAGCGGGGGTATAAAAAGTAAAATAGGAGATGCACAATGGCAATATGTATAATTATAATAAAAAATCTCTGAAAGCATCTTTAAATTTTATTTAGTGGTTTGGGAGGAGTTGCGGATAAGAGATGGATATCCTTCAATATTATAGAACTTATAGCTATAATATAAATTCTTTATTGCTAAAAGGACTTTTTAAAAAAAGCTTTGACAATGATATTAAGTGAATATTTTGTGAGAGTGATTTTTACGCACTTTTTTTATACTCAATACTAAAGGTACTGTGAGCAATGAGCTCAATAAATGATACCCCCGCATTCCATATGAATATCATGGCAGTGTCCATGTTTTGTTATGGGAAACTCGAAATATGTGTCGGTTCAATAAGTAAAATAGGAAGTGCACAATGTATTAATGGCATTACGTAATAAAGAATCTTTGAAAGTATATTTAAATTTTATTCAGTGAAAGTCTCCTTAAAGTTCATTTAATGGTATGAATAGAATAGAATAGAATTTATTACCAATCAGGGCCCATTGGGCATAAACATATAACATACATAATTACATATAAACATAATAAAGTAATAGACAGAATACAATATATAGGAAAGAGCAATTCTTCTATTAAGTATATATATACTGATAAATATGTTGGTAGCATTTTTAAGTTTCATATATAGACATGCATGATGGGTTGTTGTACAAAAAATGTGCATAAGTATTATTTAGGATATATTACACACACACACACACACACACACACACACACACACACACACACACACACACACACACACACACACACACACATATATATATATATATATATATATATATATATATATATATATATATATATATATATATATATATATATATATATATATCAAAACACATAAAACTATGTTTGAAACATCAACAAGAGGCAGCAAGAGTCGGTGCTAAAGGATATACAGAATTCCACTTCTGCCTCATGTAGAATAAACAGACATAAAATTTATGGAGAAAAATATATATTATATAAATAAATTGTACATTGACACATGTGTTAATTAAATTGAACTACAATGGACAGCAAGAGTCAGTGCTGAAGGATAGTATATTGTTATTATACATGTATTAAAGTTATCCACTTCTGTTCAATGTAGAGTATAAAATACAACACACATATCAACAACATATTTACATAGTGTAGCACAAGTATTTAAGTAAGGTACATCAAATGATTTTGAATTTGTTTAACTATACATGACTTATGAATTCACACAATTTGAACAGCACATCAACATCGTCACAGTTCATTAACCACAAAAATTGGTTATTTTTTGACAAGCTATTAAAAAGATGACACCTCATAGATATCGTGGATAGTAAATTTATTCTTGATTGACTATGACATGGACAACTTAAAAGAAAATGTACTTCATCTTCTATCTCTTCTAAATTACAATTGGGGCATATTCTGGTATGAGAGGAGTTGCGGATAAGAGATGGGTACCCTTCAATATTATTGAAAAACTGGCAGTGTCAATGTTTTGGAAAAACCAAAATATGTGTCCGATCAAAAAGTAAAATAGCTAGGAGTTGCACAATGACACTATATAACAAAGATTCTGTGAAAGTCTCGTTAAGTTCATTTAATGGTATGAGAGGAGTTGCGGATAAGAGATGGGTACTTAGTACCCCAAAGCGTAACAGACAGACGGACGGACATGCCAATTACTATATACCCTCTCGCTTTACAAGCGGGGGGGGGGGGGGGTATAAAAACTCGTTTAGTACGAACACGAATATCGAGAATTCATGGAAATAGCGAAGTTATCTAGGTTCTACAGCTCTATAAATTTGACAAAATCCTTATATTTATACCCCCGCTTGAAAAGCGGGAGGGTATATAGTAATCGGTATGTCCGTTCGGTCGTCTATTTAAGCATTGAATTCATATTTATCCTGCAACTACCCCTTGCATTGACCTAATAAAGGTAACCTAATAAACCAAAGCTTTATCCGGTCACTGCCCTAATAAAGCCTCGCACAAGTATTCCGACGTTCTAAAAAGCATTGTGACGTCACGTATTTTGCAATGTTTACGCCATGGCGTCATACTTTCAACTGCAGAGATGTGCCTAAATCTGTCGAAAATAGCTAGATTTGGACGTTCAAATGTAAAAAATATTGCAGGATAAACAAAATACATGATAACTGTCTTGAAATATAAGCGATATTTCGGCTCGGGTCGAAAACGTGAGAGGGGCTCGGCAAGCCTCGCCCTCTATCACGTTTTCTTACCCTCCCAAATCACAGGAAGAAACGAGACCTTTCAGTTAAAACTGAAAGGCGGCTTTCTTTTTTTTATATAATTTATTGCTTTTTGAAAAAAAAATTTTACAAAAAGGAAAACATTGAGAGAGAGAGACAGAGTGACAGAGAGAGAGAGAACTGGAGAGAGAGAGAGAGAGAGAGGCAGAGAGAGAGAGAGAGAGAAGGGGACAGAGAAAGAGAGAGAGAGATGATTAAGAAAATAAATCAGTCAATGGCCTCCAGCTTTCATCAAAAGATTCTTTTTCATTATTTTTATAAGATATATATTTTTGTAATTCATACATTGTTTTAATAGAGGATATCAACCAATCTAAGGAGATGTTTCTGTTTGTACATTTGTACAGATAGATATAATGTTTAATTTGTAAGGCAATAATATTTTTAAGCTTATCAGTTCTCTGCACAGAGCCTAATAAAAATTCTTTTTTGGAAAAAGTTATAGTAGTGTTGATTTTATTGAAACAGTAGTTTGCAAAATTCTCTAAAAGAGATTGCACATGTTCACATTCCCACAACAAATGTGCTATTGTTTCAGTTTCTATTTTACAGAAGGTACATGTACATGCTTTATTATCAGTTTTATTAATTTTGTGTAGGAAGGAATTTGTCGCTAGTATTTTATGGTTTATTCTAAATTGAAACCACTGAAGTTTGGTGTTTTTTGTAATTTTGAATGGAAGTAAATAAATTATCTCCCATTCACCACTGCTCAAGTCAAATATTCTATTCCAACAGATTTTACCCAACGGTTCAATTTTTTGTCGAATGAGTATTTCATATAAATCATGATTTAATGTTGGCAATAAAAGAGTTTTTAGAACCGTTAGACGACCAAGAGGAGTTAAATTTCTTTTGTTCCAGTGTTGTATTGATTTCTTTATATTACTTATTTTTGATGCATAATTAAGCATAAATATCTTTTTTAGATCTGTGTCAAAGTCAATGCCTAATAATTTAAAGGTTACTTTTCCCCACTCTTATGTATGATCTGTACTTAGCGTATCATTGCTGCCTTTTTTAGACCCAATCCAGACTACTTGAGTTTTACTGTAATTTATATACAAGCCTGACATCTTCTCAAATCTTTTAAGAGTATTGAGACTTGTTTGGAGTGATCTTTCACTTCCATCTAATATTAAAGTATCATCTGCCAACATACTTAACTTTTTTTCAGTATTCATAAATTGAATCCCCTTTATATCCTTATTGTTTCGAATGCTGATTGCAAGGATTTCTGCACAAATAAGAAATAGATATGGAGAAAAAGGGTCTCCTTGACGGCAGCCTCTGTGTAGGTTAAAAGATTTCGACAAATTTCCTCCTTGATTAATGGAAGCTGTAATATTTGTGTAAAAAATATCAACCCATTTCCTAATAGAATTGCTAACATTAAAAAATTTGAGGGATTTCTGTATAAAAGACCAAGACAAGGAGTCAAAAGCTTTTTCAAAGTCCAGCAGGAGCAAAAGTCCTGGTATATTTTCTTCTTCTGTAAATTGCATGATATCATATATAAGTCTTATATTTTCAGAAATATTTCTTCCTTGTATGAAACCAGTTTGATCACAATGAATAATTTTATCAAGATATTTTTTCATTCTATTAGCAATTGAGCCTGATGCGATTTTATAAACAGTATTAAGTAGCGAAATGGGTCTCCAGTAATGTTGTCTTGGTTTTTCACCTTTTGGTATACAGGTTATTATACCATGTCTTTGTGTAATACTTAAAGTCTTATTTTCATAGGCATAGTTAATAGATCTTACTACAAAAACACCGATGGACTTCCAAAAAACCTTAAAAAACTCTGATGTAAAGCCATCCGAACCTGGAGATTTATTTGATTTCATATTATTGAGTGTT